TAGTCTACAGATTGTTGGTCTCTGACCTGGAGCTGTAAAATCCTTTTTCTGACCACGAGGCTTCTCCTGTTCCACTCTATTTTACCTCCATTTGCCACTCTGTCATTGGCTTGGAAAACGTTAATAGGAAAGTTTATTTTACTGTGGTAAGGCACTTAACATGAGATAGGCACTCTTACAAGGTTTTTAAATGCACAATACACCATTTATTCCTCTTAATAGGTATAATGTGAAGAACAGATGTCTACATCTGCTTATTCATTTAATATCACTGAAACTCTATACCAGTGGATTAGTTTTATATTATAATTTGTGCCACTCTGGGTTTGAAGAAGACTCAGTCACGTAGTTATGCAAAATGTTTAGATCCGTGTCTCCAGGATATAGCTGCCCATGGTTTTCCTGCACCAGCTTCAGCTGACGAGTCATCAAGTGTTCATCATACCAAGTGTTAATTCAGACCTATTGATGTAGGAGACCATTCTGTGTGGAGTGGGCCCAGCTCCCACTCGGAGATGCACAGGACCCATGCCCACGGATAGGTTCTCCCGTGGGGAATCAGGCCTGCAATATGCCTAGGCTGCTTTGAGTCTTGCTTTTGCTAAAAACTTTTTCACCTGGATTAGTGGCAAACATTTACTGCAAAGTAACTTCTTAAAATCCAGGCTGAACCTTCCAAGGACAAGTGTAACTGGTTCCACCACTTTTGCTCTTTCATTTGCAAATATCTCTCTTCTGTGATGTGATTATCGGCTTTGTCTCCTTTGTTTTCTGTAAAAGATAACCACCTAAAGCAACCTGTGCATAGTAAATGAGGACCATCACATAATGTGCGGAGAAACCCAATAAAGGCTGGTCATGGCAAGGGCCGTGGAGTTTGCTCCCCTTGAGAGAAAAGCTATGCTGTCTCTTTTCCCCCACTGGACTTGGTAGTCCATGTGAATGTCTCGTTTCATCCATAATGATGTGGACACTGCGGGCTGGTGTCTAAATCATATTGACACTGAGAAGAAAGAGGTGGGTTTACCTTTACAAGGGAGTGCAAAGCATTTCTGAGTGTTTATTGCTCATTTTGGAAATACTATAAATTGATCTTAGAATTTCTGAGAAATACAAAATTCAGCAAATATCCTCTGTTTGACTGTAAAGTAATGCACAAAGCAAAATTGTATCTCAAGACTGTCATTGCAATAGGCTTCTCACAGAATCTGATTACTTCTGAAGTCTGTACATGCTTCTGCCTTAACACATGCCCATTGCCCTCCTTAAATGTTGAGTGTGAGATGAACATATGTGCTAAATTAATACTAATTTAGTAGGATTTTTAGAAGAGCATAAAATATTGAATACTAGCTGAAATAATATCCTTCTATATACTTATGTTAAAAACATATTATTTGTTTTTTATATTTTTTAAAATTATTTTTAAAGATTTTATTTACTTATTTTAGAGAGAGGGGTTGGGAGGGAGAAAGAGAGAAAGATTGATCATTGTGTGGTTGCCTCTTGGGCACCCTAACTGGGGGCCCTGGCCTGCAACCCAGGCATGTGCTCTGACTGGGCATTAAGCTGGGATGCTTTGGTTCCCAGGCTGGAACTCAATCCACTGAGCCACACCAGCCAGGGCAAGCCACGTAGTTTTTTCTAAAGGTGCAATTGCCCTGTTCTTTCTGTCTTTATTATCTGACTTTTAAAAAATAAGGTACAATATTACTTTTGTAATCAGAATGTAAAGTTATTTCCAAGTTGAAAAATTTTCACACCACATAGTCAGGATGAGTAAAATTTAGATAAGATATCTATAAAAAATATAAAGAAAATAAAATAATTTTTTTCAAGCAACCATAAATGTGGAATTTCGGAGGCCAAGCACTAAACAGCATATACAACAGACAGGTAAATGAGATAAAATATGTCACAAATTCCAAGAATCATACATCTTCTACAGATTGTGCGTAGACGTTTACATACCCTTAGGAAAGAACTAAAACTCATTATTTATGAGTATGAGTATGAATCTTATCAATACTCCTGGGGTGACTATAATTGCAACATTATCCTTTACATAAAGAATGAAAAGTTGAAAATTATCTTTACATATTAATTGCATGCATTAATATTACAGATTGGAAACAACATTAATATTAAGTTAATTCAATATTGAATGCTAATGTAAGTATTGAAACAGGCTTCTAGCAAAGCTGGTTTAGATGGAGAGGTTTTATATTTGTAGAAAAATATCTTAAACATGAACACTTGGTATGAAATGGATTTCAGAACATGTGGGGCATGGCAGGAGATAAAATAGTCAGGAGGAGTTGTAGGCAAGTGAGAAACAGACCTGGGATCAAGGCCATTTGGGAAGAGGGTGAGGCTGGTGGAGACAGCTGTGTCCCTGGGGACCTGATGCAAGTGCTTCCTTCAGGGCTCTCATGAATGAGAATAAATAACCACTGCCCAGCCCTCAACAAACTGAGTTTCATCTCCAATCTCACACGTGTTCTTGAAGACCCAATAAAGGCTGGTGAGTGAATAGACATCTGTAGGTGGGGTGGTTCCAGGACTAGGGTATGAACTGAGCTGGTGTTATGTCAAAGATGGCCAGAGGCACAGGACTCTCGGATGTTATTGATAGATATGAACGCAGACTGGCAAAGACAAGAGGCATTTGTCTGGTTGGTTACAGCTGAAGTGGAGGGTAAGGTGTGGGAGAGGAGGCTGAGTGTATATGGGTAATTGAGGTTAATGAAGGTTGGCAAATAAAGAGAAGTAATCCAATAATGACAAATGTCCTAATAATTAGAGTGGATATGAGAAAGCAAAAGATATTAAACTACAGACCCCTCTTGGCTAATATGAGAAGAGCATTGAGAGTGACAAGGATCAGTGCTGGGCTTCCTAAAGCAGGGCTTGGGAAGTAAACCAGGACATCCTGGGCAGGCACGAGAGGAGAATGATGCGGGAGGAGAATTGAGTGGGCCTTTCAGATAAACACGTGTCAAACCAAAGTCACTCTAACTTGGTCAGACCACCAACTGTACAGGCAAATCCTCAGTCTCTGAGCTCCCTGGCTTCTCTCGCTGGCTCCAAGTAATAAAATGTCCTCTGCTGCTCCCTTTCTTCAAACACATGCCTGTCACCAGCTTCCATAATCTTTCTCCTTTACAGCTCTGCATTTGTTGATTTGTGTGTTGTGTGGGTTCTTCCTTCTTGCCATTTTTCCCCTTTACTTTTCCAATCAGGTATGTGGTGCACATATAAACATTCACATCCCTCTGGTGCCATCTCACTTTTTTTCATGCAGGAGGTTAGCTCCTCTCGCTGGAGAGAACTTTTTCGTAAAGTAGCCATATGCTCTACAGGAGATAGTGCCCTAACTTAGGCCAGCTGATTGGACCCCTTTGACAGGTGACTCTGATAGCAGAACATGTTCCTCTAGCACAGGAGGATGGTAACTGGAGCTGATTTTCTTCCTCAGAAAGAAAAATTATGGGTGCCAAGTGGGTAAGTGGAGAGGAAAAAAAATGTTAATGAATATGAGATATAATTTAGTTACTGAACTAGATATTTTAAAGTTACTTTTTTATTAGGGGGAATTAACAGTGGTCTTGACTCTTCAACTTGTGTGCTTACAAATTTGTTGTTATCTCAAACTGCAAGTTCATAGAACTCTGTCAAATTCCCCCTTTTTCCTATATTTCCAGTTTGTAATATGGTGCCTAAAAACAGTTATTGCTTCCTAAATGATGGAGTTAATGAATGAATGAATGTACACTAAGAACAAAAGGATAGAATTTCCATGTGAAGAAAAAGTTTCCAAATAGCATGCACATGTCTTCTTAGCAGTAGTGTCTCATCTTACAATTTCAGTCATTTATAAACTTAGTTCCTTAAGGTATGAGCAGGAGCAGTGCCCACCTCAGGCACATGGGTCCTGTTCACACTACCTCTTAAAGTTTTCCCCACTCTCTTTGCAAGTGAGCACTTTGTATGGTGAAGCCAGAGAGATTTCAAATAGTATTTTCATCAATTAGATCTGAACAATCATCTACGCTGCTTTCTTCTGCATTCCCTGTGCACAGCCACCCAGAGCAGAATAAACATTGTTTCATGAACATGCTTACACTTTGATTTGTTTTCTTTTGTGCCTTCCCTTTCTTTTTATTTCTCTCCTTGCAATAAAGTACCCACTATAAAGCACCACAATGTTCACAGCAGCACAATTTACAATAGCCAAGAGTTGGAAGCAACCTATGTGCCTGTCAGTAAATGAATGGATCAAAAATCGTGGTACATATACACAATGGAAATCTATGCAGCAGAAAGAAGGAGCTACTACCCTTTGCAACAACATGGATGGAACTGGAAAGCATTATGCTGAGTGAAATAGGCCGGGTGTTGAAAGAAAAATACCATATGATCTCACCTTTAACAGGAAGCTAAACAACAAAACAAACAAGCAAGCAGAATAAAAACAAAAGACACTGAAATAGAGAACAAGGGGACAGTGACCAGAGGGGAGAGGGAAGGGAATTTAAGGGGAAAAAAGGGGAGGGATTTGTAGGAACAAGTATGAAGGACACAGGGACAAGAACTAAGGGGGGTGGAGATGGGGGGGAGGTGGGGAGCGTGGGGCGGGTTGGGCCGGGATGGGAGAAATAGACAGAAAACTGTACTTGAAAAATAATAAAATAAAATAAAAAAAAATAAAGTCAAGCTCAAGTTCTCACATTCAAGGAACACTTGTTACAGCTTTCCCACATACATAGAATAATTTCCTTTGTCTTTTCATGATCCTACGCTTGTAGGGGAACGTATACCTTTTAATTAGACTATCACTCTTTGAAGCAAAGATTATATTCTCTTGACCCTTTATGTTTGTTGTTATTTGCATGTTCAAAGAAGATGGAAGTGTGGAATATGCTAAAATCTCTTTGTGCCATCAGAGAGAATATTACCGGAAATAGTGTGTTTTCCGCTGTGTCTATGAATAAGAAGTGATGTCTCTGGCGATCTCTCCACACCTAATTACCTTAAACCACAGCGGTGTTAGCCACATGGTCTTCCACTTACTGGGCATCCCTGGCCTAGAGAACCAGCGCATGTGGATTTCCATCCCCTTCTTCATTTCCTATGTCATCGCACTGCTTGGGAATAGTCTACTCATCTTCATTATCATCACAAATAGCAGCCTCCATGAACCCATGTACCTTTTCCTTTGCATGCTGGCTGGAGCAGATGTTGTCCTCTCCACATGCACAGTTCCCCAGGCCTTGGCCATCTTCTGGTTCCATGCTGGGGAGATCTCCCTGGATCGCTGCATCACTCAGTTCTTCATTATCCACTGCACTTTTATCTCTGAGTCAGGGATCTTGCTGGTGATGGCATTTGACCGCTACATTGCCATATGTTACCCGCTAAGATACACCACCGTTCTTACACATGCACTGATTGGGAAAATTGGTGTTACCATCTTGAGAAGTTACTGTACAATTTTTCCCATAATATTTCTTCTGAAAAGGTTGACTTTCTGCCAAAATAATGTTATTCCACATACCTTTTGTGAACATATTGGCTTGGCCAAGTATGCTTGTAATGACATTCGAGTGAACATCTGGTACGGACTTTTTGTAGTAATGTCAACAGTGGTTTTAGATGCTCTGTTAATTTTTGTTTCTTATGTGCTGATTCTTCATGCTGTGTTCCACATGCCTTCCCAAGATGCTCGTCAGAAAGCTCTCAGCACATGTGGCTCCCACGTTTGCATCATCATCCTCTTTTATGGGCCTGCCATCTTCACAACTGTTACTCAGCCGTTTGGACGTCACATTCCTCCTCATATCCACATCTTGTTGGCTAATGTCTGCATTCTGGTTCCACCTATGCTGAATCCCACCATTTATGGGATCAAGACCAAGCAAATTCAAGAGCAGGCAGTTCACATGTTTTTTCCAAAGTAGAAATAACTTTGGGAGAGGATCAGAGTTTTCAGCATCTGTAGCTGTTCGTGATGTGGTCTATGGAAGTGGTGGGTAGAAACATTAGTGGTAAGCTGAAAGGGTAGGAAATAGCTCAGAAATTGTGTTTCTGGAGCAAGTTCACCAAGAATATTATAGGATAGCATATTCAACTGTCAGTACAAGAGCAAGGGAGGGGGGAACAAGAGGGAGAGAGGAAGAAAGAGAGAAAGTTGCCTGAGCAAGTTTCTACAGCTTTACTAGCCTCTTCTACTGTTTTTTTTTCTTACTAACTTAAAAATTCTTTTAAGGACTTATTTTAAGGACAAACCATTTAAAATTTCTCAAATGCATTTCCATACCTAATATCTTCTTTAACTGAGTACACATTATCTTTTGTGTATTAATTAGCATTTGTAGTCCTTAAATTCTTAATTTTTACTGACAACTAATAAGTAAGCAGTTAACATTCTTTAGATTGGCTGATTTATGAATTTATATAATAACATCTAGAAGCATAGCATAATGTTGGCAATTATTTATAGCTTTTCAGAAACATGTTTTTTTTTATAATTTATTTTTTTGTTTTCATTGTTGTTCAGGTACAGTTTTCTGTCTTTTACTCCCCTCCCAGCCCTGCCTCAGCCCTCCTCACCTCCCTCCCATTCCACACCCCCCTAGTTTTTGTCCATGTGTCCTTTATACTTGCTCCTGTAAACCCTTCCATTTCTCCCTGAAAAATCTTTCCCCTCTCTTTTGTGTTTTTAAAATGAAGTATAAGACATTTGCTAACAGATTCACATTTACCTTTTAGTTTTCCTTACTATGAAGCCAAAAGTTTGTAAACTTAGACTTATCTATCAATTAATGCTTCAGTATTTTTTGTTATTTGGTAATACTAGACATTTAATAATTTTGAGTTACTAATGAGATTCAGAAAACCATTTAGGTACATATAGAATATAGTTGTTGCTAATAATTTAACCTAAAAAGTCTTTTACATCCCATTTACATTTTTTAAATTTTACTTGATTCTAAAATTAAGTTTAAATTACTTATGAAGATGTTATTATTCCAGGTTATTTTAAAATATATATTTTTAAAAGACTTCTTTAGTTTTAGAACCAGAGTCATGGAAATAAAGAATAAACTGATAGTGAACAGACAGGCAGGGGTAGTAGTATAATTGGGGGAAGAGAGAGAAGGGGCAAGTGAAAGAACATGAATAGAGGACTCAAGGGCAGGTACAATGGAGATGGCATTGATTGACTGTGAGAAGGGTATATGGGGCAAGGGAGAGCAAAGGGAAAAGAGGTGGGACAAATGTAACTGAATAACAGCAATTTAAAATTTATTTTTAGAGGGGGAGAAGGAAGGGAGGAAGAGAGGGAGAGAAACACCAAAGCGAGAGAGAAACATTGCTCAGTTGCCTCTAGTATGCGCCCCAGTTGACAGGAAACTGAACCCAAAACTCGGGCATGCGCCCTCACTGAGCATGGAAACAGCAGCCTTTTGCTTTGTGGGACGATGGTCAGCCAACTGAGCCACACTACTCAGGGACCAAGTTGTATTTTCAATGACAAATTTTGCAACAAAGATGGCATGAACCTATTTGACTAATGAACCTAGGTAGAATAAAAGTATTATTTAATGTTGGTGATCCTAAAGAAATGACTGTTTAACAAAACCAAACTCAAAACTAGCTTTAATAGCAAATATTTTATCAGATGATGTGATTCTGAAAGGATTTGGGTTAGTTTTTGTTATATTTTTGAGAATTCTCATATAAGTAATTATTTAAACCAATTTAATATTAAAAATTAGCAATACTACTCAGCAGCAGAAATATGCTGTATCTGTGAGATACATACATAGACATAAATAAATATGCAGATAGACATAGGGATCTCATAACTTTCATTTTAAAGTGCCAACTTTTCTGTACAGATCTCCCAACACCATTTATTGAAGAAGCTATTTTTACTCCATTTTATGCTCCTGTCCCCTTTGTAAAATATTACTTCACCATGGAGACATGGGTTTATTTCTGGGCTCTATGTTCTGTTCCATTGATCTATGTGTTTGTTCTTATGCCAGTATCAGACTGTTCTGATTACAGTGGCCTTGTAATATAGTTTGATGTCAGGCATTGTGATCCCTCCAACTTTATTCTTCTTTCTCAAGACTTCTGAGGCTAGGTCATTTTTGGTTCCATATAACGTTTTGAAATATTTGTTCTAAATCTGTGAAGTATGTCATTGGTATTTGAATAGGAATTATATTGAATCTATTGACAGCTTTAGGTCATATGGGCATTTTAATGATGTTAATTCTTCCAACTCTTGAGCACAGTATATCCTTCCATTTATCTGTACCTTCGTAATTTCTTTCTTCAGTGTTGTATAGTTTTCCAAGTCCAGGTAATTTACCTCTTTAGTTAACTTCATTCCTAGGTACTTTATTTTTCTCATTACTGTAGTAAATGGGATTTCCCCACTAATTTCTGTTTCTGATATATCATTGTTGGTGTACAAAAATACCTTTGATTTCTGAATCTTGACTTTGTATGCCACTGTTTTTCCAAAATCACTTCTTAGGTCTAGTAGTTTTTGGGTGGAGCCTATAGGGGTTTCTATGTACACTATCATGTCATCTGCAAATAATGACAGTTTTATTTCCTCCTTTCCAATTCAGATGCCTTTTATTTCTTTTTCTTGTCTGATCACTGTGGCTAGAGCTTCCAATTCTTTGTTGCATAAAACTGGTGAATGTGGACACCCTTGTCTTGTTCCTGATCTTAGGGGGAAAGCTTTTAGTTTTTGCCCACTGAGTATGATATTGGCTGTAAGTTTTTTTGTATATGGACTTTATTATGTTGAGGTATGCTCCCTCTACTTCCATTTTGTTGAGTGTTTTTAACATAAATGGGTGCTGTATTTTATTGAATGCTTTTTCAGCATCTATTGATATGATCACATTATTTTTGTCTTTCACTTTGTTTATGTGATGTATTGTGTTTTTTGGTTTGCAAATACTATACCATCCTTGCAACCCTGGGAAGAATCTCACTTGATCATGTTGTGTGATGTATTTAATGTATTGCTGGACCCAGACTGCCAATATTTTGTTTAGCATTTCAGTATCTATGTTCTTCAGTGATATTGGCCTATAGTTTTCTTTGTTGTGTCTTTACCTGGTTTAGAAATAGGGATAATACTGGCCTCAAAAAAAGTTTGGGAGTCTTCCCTCTTTTTAATTTTTTTGGCGTGGTTTGAGGAGGGTAGAAATTAGCTGTTCTCTAAAGGTTTGGTTGAATTTGCCTGTGAAGCTATCTGGTCCAGGGCTTTTGGGTGGTCAGAGTTTTTTAATTACTGCTTCGATTTACTAGTTGTTATTGATCTATTTAGGTTTTCTTCTTCTTCTAGAGCACCAACTTATACTATACCCTCAAATAAAGTCAAGATGGATAAAGGACTGAAATATAAGCTGTGACACCATAAAAGTCCTACAGGAAAACACGGACAGTAAAAGTTCAAATACCTCATGCAGCAATATTTTCACTGGTATATATGTTAAGGCAAGGGAAATGAAGGAAAGAATAAATAAATAGGACTATATCAAACTAAAGATCTTCTGCATAGTGAAAGAAACATCAGCAAAATGAAAAGGGATCCAACAGCATTGGAAAACATATTTACCAATGATACCTTGGACAATGTTTTGATGTCCAAAATAGAAAGAGAATTCATATGACCCAACATCAGAAAGACAAAAACTCCAATTAAAACATGGGCAAGGGACCTGAACAGACACTTCTCTAAGGAGGACATGCAGAGGGCCCTGAGACATGAGAGGATGCTCCACCTTACTAGCTATCAGAAAGATGCAAATGAAGACCACAATGAGACACTACCTCATACTCTTTAGAATGGCCATCATTAACAAATCAACAGACAACAAATGCTGGTGAGGCTGTGAAGAAAAGGGAACCCTAGTGCATTGTTGGTGGGAATGCAAACTGGTGCAGCCACTGTGGAAAACAGTATGGAATTTTCCTCCAAAGACTAAAAATGTGACTGCCAGTTTGACCCAGCAATTCCACTGCTGCAATTATACCCTAAGAATCCTGAAACACCAATTCAGAAGAAGCAATGCATTCCTATGTTCATAGCAGCATTATTTACTATCACCAAGTGCAGGAAACAGCCTATGTGTCCATTAGTAAATGAGTGGGTAAAAAACCTGTGGAACATTTACGCAATGGAATTTACACATAGGAAGAAGGAGCTCCTACCCTTTGTGATAGCATGGACGGAACTGGAGAATATTATGTTAAGTGAAATAAGCCAGGCAGCAAAGACAAGTACCATATGATTTCATCTATAAATGGAACCAAATGAACAAAACACAGTAACAAACAAAATAGAACTAGAGGCAGGGAAACAACAGATTGACAGTGAGTAGAGGGGAGGGGAGTGGAGGAGAAGGGAGAAAAGCAGGGGAAGGGTCTAGTTTGTGTGAATAACCCATGGACATGAAAAACAAGGTGGGGATTTACTGAGGGAGCAAGTGGGGGTGGTTAAGGCACTGCAGAGCAACTGGGGAAAAATTGGTACAACTGTAATAGAACAATAGTGAAAAAAGGTTAGGTGATCCTTAAAGGCACCTGGAAGTATATCTATAGAAAGAGAAGGAGGATTTTCTTAATCTTACTTTATGCCAGGGAATTTGCTAGTTGCTTTATTGAGAAGATATAGCAATATAAAATGAGATATAAAATATAAAAGCTGTATAATCTTTAATGTCAAAGTAGAAAATCTATAGACCCTACATTCTTTGATGTAGTCCTGTCTAATAAAAATTATGCTGATAAAGAAAATGCTAGCTTCTATATCCCATGTGCAGCACAAAACTCAAAGGAAAACCTGAATCTAAATTATGTTTCTGGCAGATGGACTAAGATAAGATTTTGATCAAGTGACCAAAGATTTGCATGCTACAAG